ATGAGGTACTGATGAATTCAAAGGGGCAAAGAGCAACTGCAGCTCAGAAAGTGGAGGATGTTGGCTTAACAGGGAGCGGCATCACTCTCTACAGTGACAGGACACAGTGATACCAGCTACCGCCTGGTGTGATGCTGAGAGACAGTCAGAGCATCTCTCTGCTACGTTGTTGCCAACAACTCACAGAGTGAATCCAATGGTCCCACGGTGAAGGTCATTCTACCAGGGAGATGGCCTAGAAGCTTTCAAAAGGAGCAGAGAGATGGTTGCACATTAAAGGAGGCTAAACAGAGAGAGGGTGGCCACTCAAGTGCTGTACCTCCTGGATGGGATCCCAGCTGCTCTTAGCATTTCTTTCTTGTGCTCTGAACGACATGAACAAGACAAACGGGGGTTTGAAGACATCTATAGATAAGTTAAAGATACTTCATCGATGATGTTAAACTTCCTGGCTTTGCACTGCGGCAGGAGAACAGGATGTTCTTGTTTCCAGGAAACCACGTGGAAGAGTTTGGGAATGAAAGCTCATTAACTCTGCAGTTTACTCACAAACAGTTCAGAGACACAAGAAAGTTTCAAGGAGAAAGAATGAAGAAACAAGAGCAGTAAAGTGTAAACAGTAAAGTGTAAAAAATTTTTGAACTATTTTTCCAACTTTTCTCTATGCCTGAAATTATTATTATTAATTTATTCATTTATTTTTAGTGGTATTGAGGATTGAACCCGGGGTCTTCACACTAAATGACATCGCCAGTCCTTTCTTAATTTTTTTTCCCATAATTTTGGTGAGAAACAAATAGCAATGAGACAGTTTCAAACCAAATTGGTAGGACAGTTTCAATAATTAACACATTGCATACATTCGTGTTCATATTGGTTATTCATAGTACAAGATGCAGACATGATATCCTATTTACAAACACTATTAGAACAAATCCCTCTATTCATTAAGAGAATGCAACTATATATCTATCCTAACCATTTTGAATACACAGATACAAAATGGACATTCATCTGTATCCCCTTTTTTTGTTTAGTTCCGTTATTTGAATATTATAGGTATGTTAACTCAGCAAAATAATCTAAAAGAGTCCAGTAGTCTATAATAATATTAGGTCTTCCGCTTCACTGGCAATGTCAGAAACTGTTGACCTGAGTCCCCTAAAGCTCAACATAACAGCATGGCTTTACTTCTTATACTTCGTTTTTATACTTTTCTGCTGGATGGTTAAGACCAAGATAAAGCAAGACTTATGCAACAAGAGTTGTAGCTTTTGGGTCTGATAAGGTCAGTGAAATCCCCTCAGGATTTATCCTGAGATCCTGTACCTCAGATTGTAGAACCTTTGTCAGTGTCAGCCATGTGGATGAGTCACGGCCATTGCTTGGCCAATGTGTCCTTTCTTAATTTTTTAAGTAACCATGGAACCGCATCCACTAGGGTCGATGCGATGCTGGGAGGGTAGAGCTGGTAAGAGGCGGGCCAGCTGTCAAGGTATCACCCCCAGAGCTGAGCTTGCCAGAAGAGACCCCCACCCACCCAGACAACCCTGGAGAGCAGGTGGGCGGCAGGGGCTGCTGCTTGTGCGCTGGACACGGGATGGCTGGTGCGCCCCCTGGTGGTGAAGCTAAGTGAAGGCATGGCGACTTCGGCGATACAAACTTTCGAGTCCACGGGACCACCTGCAGCTACGCCAAGCCTGCAGCTCGGGTCCAGAACTGAGCACACAGCCGCTGCTCAGCCACAGTAGACGATGAATGCTGTATGTAACAGCGCTGTGATTTCAACATTGCAAATGGCTTACGTGAGGTTTGAAGAGATTGCATATCTAGCAAACCATGGGTCGGGGTGCTGGGGGCAGAGTCAAACCCTGGGCTGCTGTCTTCCAGAGCTTGCTCTTAGCAAGGCTATTTCTGGCAGAATAGATGTAACTATTTTGCCTGAATCCACCCCTTTCTCTCCTCAGGTGACCCAAAGATGTCAAACCAGCACCCCGCCTCAAAGCTCACTGGTAGAACTACTGCCCCTCCCCACACCCCAGGCAATACCAGGACAGGATTTGCAGGAAGACCCAAACTAGCAGTGGGGGCGAATGTTCTGACATCTCAAACCTGGGGAAGAGAACTGAATGCCAAACGCCAGCCTGGATGAGTGACATGTTAGTCGTGGAACTGCCAGCAGAGGTGACATAAGCCACTCAGATATGGAAATGCTGCTGAGAGGAAGAGAGGGTTCACAGCGGGACACCCCAAGGTGCACCCAGATGAGAATCCCAGGTATGTTTTGTTCTGTTCTTTCCGTTCTATTGAGGAGTGACATGCGGGTGGCTTTAGGTCATGTAGGCTCAGCATGAAGAGATAGCATCCACTCAGTCCTGGAACACAGGTCATTTGGGGCGGTCTTTCTCCCCTGCTTCCCCTTGACCCCAAATAGGAAGGAAAGGATAATCTGGTTCACCCAGCGAGCAGCCCGTGACTCAGACACTGAGCAGGATGGGGCAGCAGGGAATACTGGGCTTCACAGAAGCCCGTATTCACTGTGCTTTGCGCAGACGGCAAACCCGGCTTCCTGTGATGGCACCTGACCCCCTCACTGCAACCACGGAAACACAGCGCAGTTTAATTTCCCAGTGAGGAAACAGGTTCCAGGAGGGAGTGTGACTTTTCTGCAGTCATTCAGCTATGAAGCCGCAAAGCCAGGCTGCCATTCCCCTCTGAGAGCCATCTCTGTCCCATCCCACTTTCCAGCCTATCCAGAAGGGAGGGGACAATAAGGGACAGTCTACTGTGTTGGGGTAGACTTTTCCAACTCAACACTCACCCCAGGAATGGTTAGAGTTTTCCTCAGTATCTTCTAAATGGAGCATATGCAAAAAAAAAAAAAAAAAGTATATGAAGTGACCTGGCTACAGGACAGAGGAAGGGAGGGGTCGTTTCCACACACAAGTGGGTCAGGCCCTCCACCTCCTAGCCCCCACGATTTTCCACCAAACCTGGGGAGACTGAGGAGCCTACTGAGGGCTGTGTTGTATCCAATGCAGGGACAGAGGCTCAGAGGAAGGAAGGAGTCCCAGACAAGCCTCCCTCTGGGCCAGCTTCTGTCAAATAACTCCAGGACTTCGGCCACAAGGCCAGCTCTGAGGCATGAGAGTGCCCAGCCCTATGGAGGGCTGAGATAGGTCTGCCTTGGACCATGGCTTCCTCATCTAAAGCATGGTATCAGAGCCCCTAGGGCTACGCGCTGTGGGATGCAGGGGGCAGGAGAAAACAATGGCTTCGGGCTTTGGCTTCAAGGCCAATGAGGCCGTGGGGCCAGCTGTGCTCTCTGGGTCCTCTCCAGCACAGCCTAGGACAGCTCGGCCTCTGAGCCCTGACTCACATCAGTAAGGCGGAAGGGAGATGCACGCTGCAGTGAGGACGGGAGCTGACGGCAGGTATCGCCCAGCCTAGGCATAGTCCTCGGTGGTGACGTTGCTGCTCCAGCACTGCTGGGGTTGTAACAGAATGCCTGACACACAGCCTGAGGCAGGAAGGAGGTGGCACACTTGTCGTTACTGAATGTTCATGGTATTGGCCATGATGCATTGGCCCAGGGAAACAGCAGTGAAATAAAACAGGCTGAGCATGGTGGAGTAGCCCAGCACTCTGGGAGGCTGAAGCAGGAGGACTGCAAGCTCAAGCCCAGCCTGGACAACTTGCTAGCTTAGCAAGGTCTTGTCTCGAAAATGAAAAATTTTAAAAGGGCTGGGGACGTAGGTAGTTCAGGGCAAATGCCTTGGGGTCAATCCCCAGTACCACATAAAGCACGCACACACACACACACACACACACACACACAAGTGCACACACACACACACACACACACAGAAGTGTAGTGAGAAGAAAGAAAGCAGCCAGGGATCTTGGTCTTTTGCCCTCATCGGCCCTAGATCAAGTACTCAGGATCCTGCGAGCCAGTGCTGCAGGGTCGGTGTTATCCCCGAGAAGTTCAAAGATCCTCGGATAAGGCAAAATAACCGTGGAGTGGGAGAAAGGAGGAGGGGCAGATAGAGGGGCACATGGAGTGCCCCATTTCCCCCTTCCTACCTCCAGCTGTGCCCCAACCCCCGCCATCCACCTTGAACATCAGTCCCAAAAACGCCACCCCGAGCCCTCAGGTCTTGCGGCAGATCCCGCCCCTACGCGGGAAATGGACCAGGTGGGCGGGGTCTGCTCCACACAGGCCCCGCCTTCTGGGTCTCGAACCAGCTCCTTCCTCTCCCCCAGCTTGACCCGTGCTGCCCGGTACCCACCTCCATCTCTCCTCCCCGGGCTTTTTCCGGGATTTTCACGCTTTGGAAGTCCCCTGTGCTCCCAAGGCTGAGGACAGCTGCCTGTGCTCTCCAGCCCGCACTGTTCTTCGGTCGTCAAAGAACTGTGGGGAAGGAATCCTCCTTCTCCCTGCCCTGCGACCCTGCACATGCACTGGCCCCGAGAACACTTTCAGAGCTGGCCGGGGGTGCAGCCCAGTGACAGCAACTCCTTGGCCTGGTTCGTGCCCCAGCACCGCAGAGCACACGCGAACACTTATTATCAAACAGATCGAGGTAAATGTTACATGAATCGCTGTGAGAAGTCTATTCCCACTGAGGCTGAACCGCACAAAGAAAGAACACTTGAGCTCGGCCAAAAAGCCGAGAAGCGACGGCGCAGGACAAGCGGTGGGATTGCTGGCTTGGGATGTGACTCATTTTTATGTGTCTGGGAACATGACTGACCTTGCCCAAACAAAGGAAGCAGCCAACGAGCTTTTTGGAACGCGCAGGTGCCTGGATCCGCCAGACGGGGTGGGGGGAGGAAAAGGAGGCGTGGAGTGGGGAGTGGCGGGGGCGGTGGGCGTGGGAATGGAAAAGCCAGGGATGAAGTGGGCGGGGCTGCAGGGATGGCGGGAGCAGGAGACGAGGGAGCAGTGGGTGGGCGTGGCGACGTGGTGGGCGTGGCCCTACATGCGCGCGGACTACAGCTCCCGGCATGCCCGGCGCGCACCGTCCGCGGCGCCGAGCCGAGGATGCAGACGCCGAGGCGGGCGATGAGGATGGAGGCTGGGGAGCCAGCGCGGCCGGCTGGAACGGGCGGCCGCGCCGCAGGCGGCTGGGGCAAATGGGTGCGGCTCAACGTCGGGGGCACAGTGTTCCTAACCACCCGGCAGACGCTGTGCCGGGAGCAGAAGTCCTTTCTCAGCCGCTTGTGCCAGGGGGAAGAGCTGCAGTCGGATCGGGTGAGCGCGCGGAGGCGGCGACCGGGAGAAGCGGCTCCTGAAGCGGCGCTGTCCCGCCCGGCCTGGCCACTGCGGCCGCCCGCAGCCTGGGGCCCAGCTAGGTTGTTTCCTGGGAGCCGGAGGCGGGAAGAACTGGCTGGAGGAGGGAGAGGGAGTGGAGCCTGGAGTGTGCCCATTGCCGTGGCAACGGGGCAACGCAGGCCGCGACCCTTTGGAGCTTGCAGGCTGCCCCATCTGGACCCGCTTCCCAAACAGGACCCCTACTCCGGAGAGTTTAAGGGGCCTCCGTCCTGCTCTTCGGGGTGTGCGGAGTGGTGGGGTGAGGGAAACCGGTAGAGGTACTGGGTGTCTTCTGCACGGCGCTTAACCTGGGAGAAGCACAGGCCCACCAGACTCGATTTCAGGGCAGCAGCCATCCTGCTCTGGTCACCTGCACGACCTTGGGTGGAGCCCCTCCGTCCTCCAGGTTCAGCCTCCTCTGTAACCCAAGGGGTTGCTCTGGAGATGATTTCAAAGGCTCGCCGTCTCTCCTGTATAAGCTGTGACCTTGGGCAAGTCCCTCATCTCCTGGTGTAGCCAAGTTATGCAGCAGATCCCTGCCCTACCTCCCTGCATGCTGCCAGTCTCCAATCAGAGCGGGGCTCCTTTGGAAACTTGTAAACACCCCGGGAAGACCAGGGATGTGGTGGACAGTAGTACTGGCCTTAGGGAACCCTCCAGGCACTCTATGCTGGGCCATATGCTGCTCCTCAGTGAATGTCCGCGGTGACTTCTAATTATGGGGAGAGAAGTTCCAACAGGATACATTGTTGGCCCAGAGTCAGGAAATGGCAGCGGTAGGGTTTGAACTCAGGCCCATCTGACTCCAGGGCCTTATTGCACCATACTCCCTCTGACTCCTCCCTCCCAGGAGTCCCTTGGTGGATGTCCTGAGAGCATTCTTATAGAGGTTGGCTGGAGGGGTCAGGGTGGGCTCAGATTTCTTTTACTACCTATGCCCTCCTCTCCCTAGGATGAGACTGGGGCCTACCTCATCGACCGTGACCCCACCTACTTTGGGCCCATCCTGAACTTCCTCCGACATGGCAAGCTGGTACTGGACAAGGACATGGCGGAGGAGGGTGAGTTGGTCCAGAGGGCTGGCCTGGGGCCCACATCCTTGCGCTGCCTCTGCAGCCTGCTGAGGCCTAGAGCCATTTCTCCCAGCCAGGTTGGATGTCTGCTTTCTCCCGTGTGGGCAGGGTTGATTCTCAGGGTCTGTGCCAAGCTTTCACTGAATGAATGCTGTCAGGGAAGTTGACAGAGACGTGCCTAAGGGACAGAGGAGGCCAGTGATACCCTAGGACCTCTGTTAAGGGCAGAGATGCCCTTTCTCTCTGGCATCCTGGGAAGCCAGGTGTAGATAGATGGTCACACCCAGAAGCAGGGCTAGGCCATGGGTGGAGTTGGGCATAGGGAAGGCTCAGCCTTCTTTCTCTGGGTGATCCAGTGTCTCAGATGCTGCCTGGCAAGGGCTGGCAGGCAGCAGGTGGGTGGAGCGGGTACCTCCTCCCCAATCTGGCACCCTCTGCACACTGCACTGGTTGTGGGTGGAGGCGGGGAGGGGGGGTGCTCTCTATGAGGGCTTCCGCTCTGGCAAGGCTGCTGTGCCCACATCTGGGCCTACCACACAGTGGGGAAGCCGTGGCAGGAGAACAGTCCCTTAACATAGCCCAGGCAGGGCCCAGGACTACAGTCAGTGCTGAGTCAACTTTCTCCAGAGCACAGCGTGTATCTGGTCAGCTGATCCAGCACGGCCAGTTAGGACACATCACTTTTCTCTGAATCTCCACTGGTGGCTCTAAAATGGGGCAGTGGCCTGCATTCTGGAGCACTCATATTGGTCTTAGACATCCTGAGTCCAGTGCCACCGAGGATATTGACACAGCCCACCTTAGCCTTCCCCACCCTGGGCCATGCTCTCCCTTCCCTGACCCTCGGGGGCCAGGTGACTCTCCCGTAGGTCAGGGCTTCAGCACTGAGTACATGTATAGCCCAGCTCCACTGAGCCCTAGCAGCAGCCCCTGTGGGAGCCCAGGTGCTACGGGCGTGGCCAGGGCCCAGAGCAGATCCCCTGGGAGGGGAAGTGAATGCTGCAGTTGCGTCACAGCCAACACCTGTTTACAGGTTCTCGGAGCCCTGCTACTTCTAGCACCTTCCGACAGGTCAAGGTCCCCATGCAGGCAAGTGGGAGATCTGAGAGGGGACTTGGTGAGCTGTGTGACTAGAAATATTACTCAGCCTCTCTGTGTGTGAAATGGGGAAACAACACCCACCACACTGGCCCTGCAGGGCCAGATGTCTCTTCTGTCACCTGCTTCAGGCAGCAGCACTTACTGACTACCCCCTGCATGTAAGATGTCACATGGTATTGCAAAGCAGAGGAGATCAGAAAGCGGCCCTGAAGTAGTCCATTCTGGCTGTGACCACAAAGTACTACAGGCTGGGTGGCCTATAAACCACAGCACTTTCTTTCTCCCAGCACCCTTAGGATCAGGCCCGCCTGACCACTTCCCACAAGGGCACTGACCCCACCGAGGGCACCTTCCTCATGACCTCCTCGTCTCCCACAAGCCCGTGCCCTCCTAGTACCATCACACTGGGCATTAGATTTCAATGTATGAATTTTGGGGAAACACAAACAGTCCAAAATAGGCCATGTGCCTCAGGAGCCCAGAAGCCAGAGGGACCAGAAGGTCACCTGTCCTGCGGTGTAAGAAGTCGAACACAGGGAACTCCTGCCTTTGTGTGTGTGCTGGGGGGTGATTTGCACCATCCCTGTAAAATAGGACAGGGACTGATGTTCTCCCCATGCAGAGGGTGAGCCCAGGGGGCTCTGCAAACTGTGCAGTACTGTGCCTCTGTAGTGGGAAGGCATGGGTCTGAAGGCCATGGCCCTGGTGCTTTTTCTGCAGCCACTGGCTCTGTGACCTTGGGCAGACTTTCCCTTTCCGAGCAGCCACTTCCCCAGTTCAGGGAGATGATGAAAACACCCACCTCTGGTTTTAAGAATTAAGTGTTGCAAAGAGCATCACATTCTAGGGCCAGCAAGATCAGCAGTCTAAGGTGCCTGCTTAGGCAAGCGCACTGGGACCGCAGTTTGATCCCTGGCAGTGCTGTGCCAGCCCTGCCCCAGGGTAGGCTAAGCTAGCCACCAAAAAAAAAAAGAGCATTGGCCGGGGAGATAGCTCACTAGAATAAGTGCTTGCCTGGCAAGTACAAGGGCCTGAGTTCAATCCCCGGTTCCTAAAAAAAAAAAAAAAAAAAAGAGCATCACATTGTGAGTACAGGGCCTGGCCCTTAGCATGCTCCAGTAAATGAGACAGTGTAGCACTCTGGGCCCGGATTGTCCCCACTGTGGTTCAGAGACCCAGCCCCCACATAGTGCTGGACAACCCCAGGTAGCACAGCTTCCAGGTCACTGTGCTCATCACTGTGGAGATGCAGGGCAGCAGCTTCCCCCTTCCATGAGGAGTGTGGGGCCCCCAGCAGGAAGTATTCCCTCTTGCCTGACCCTGGCTGCGCAGCTCACCCCCCAGGGCACATGACCAGAACAGGAAGTGGGTTTGGGAAGAGAAGGAACAAAAGGAAAATAGGGCCAGGCAGCAAGACTGACTGTGGCTGCTGTGCCTGCCAGGGGTCCTGGAGGAGGCTGAGTTCTACAACATCGGCCCTCTGATCCGCATCATCAAAGACCGAATGGAGGAGAAGGACTACACAGTGACACAGGTCAGGACACGTGTCATCCAGCCTGGAGTAGGCCAGGTGGAAAGAGGAAGGGAGGCTGGGGCAGGTGGAGCATCTTGAGGGGAAAGTGGTAGCAGCGTGCTAGGGCTCTGTCCCTGCCTCTGCCCCTTTTGCTGTGTGTCCTTCTTTGGAATAGAGAGGTGCCAGAGTTGTCAAACCATCTCTTCAAGAGACCAGTCTGTGGGAGGGAGTAGAATTCTCCACCCCGCTGGGAGGTGCAGGGCTCCGTACAGAGTGTGAGGCACCCCACCCACCTCGCTGCCCCACAGTTTGAAGAGGGGAGGCTCAACTGGTGACCAGATGTTCCCAAACTCTGCCCTCCCTCCCTCCCTCTTCTATCACCTGTGTTCCAGTTCCAGTTCTGCCACCCCTGAAATGGGTAACCTTGAATAAGTAACTGAACCCTTCCGAGCCCAAGTGAAAATTCCCACAATGCACAGGGCCCTTGAAGAATTAAATGAGCTCATGCATGTTGAGTGTCTGGCATTTAGTAGGAGCTCAGAGCATGGCTCCCTCCCTTCTCTCTTGTCCCCCTCCTAGGGTTTAGGGAGGTAGTACCTGCACTCCATGTGACCCTTCTCCCCACAGGTGCCACCCAAGCACGTGTACCGTGTGCTGCAATGCCAGGAAGAGGAGCTCACTCAGATGGTCTCCACCATGTCTGATGGCTGGCGCTTCGAGCAGGTAGGCTGGGGACACAGGGCACCATGGGGAACCAAGGGGGAGGCAGAGGCCTCTTCCTCCCTATAGCCCAGCCTCTGGGTGCCCATCACAGCCCCACTGGGGACTTCTGACATCAAAGCAACAAGGTTAGGTGAGGCCTCTCCCATGCAGTGATGAGGACAGAGGACAGAGCCCCAGAGTCCTCCCCTACATAAGCAAGACTCCAGCCCCAAGTTACCATCCAGATGCAAGGAGACGAGGGCCACCAAGGTAGGGTGCTCCACAGGAACAGTCCCAAGGCCGCTGCGGGTGGCCCTGTTAACATCAGGGAAGCCTCATACAGGCTTCCAAAGAGGGCGGTATGGGACCTGTGGTGCCTCCCAGGTCAGGTGCTCTCACTAGCAGGCTTGCTGTCATCACAAGTAGAGCTGTCCCAGGGACACAAACAGTGATGTCCCACCACTGGGGTTTCCAGAAGAGCAGAGCCAGAGAGTGAGCCCAGAGTCAGGCTTGTCCTTTCAGGAGAAGGGTTCCGCTGCCCCTTACCTACCACCATGCGATCCTGGCTGGGGAAGCTGAGGAAAGCGAGGGCTGGGCTGCCTGGCCCTGGAGCCAGAGGCTTCATTCCCCTCTGCAGCTGCAGCAACTCCACCTGTCACATCGCAGCTCTACCTGGGCCTTAGGTCTTCCTCTGGGCTGTGGGCTAATAGTACATCCTTCATGGGTCCGTTGTGGATATTGGAAGAGGCACCTGTAGAGTTCTGGGCCTGGGCAGGATGCCACCCTTGGCCTTGGTGTTGTTCAGACTACCAGAAGTACAGCATTCAGGTCTTAGAGGTCCCAAGGAGGATGCAGAGCGATCTTGGGCTCCGACCCCAGCCCTGCGTCTTCCTTGCTGAGGGCCTCCCAGGCCATCTCTTCTCCAAGCTCTGTCACTAGCAGGGTGGTATTTTCCTTTCTGCTTGCTGAAAGAGGGTCCCTGAAAGCCCAGTGGGACCTGATAGGAGCCAGGACCTCTTCAGCCGGAGGGCTGTGAAAGCATGGCTATTCTAGGGCCCTGGGACGGCTATCTCTGGCAGAGGCCCGGCCCTCAGAGACAGCAAGCAGGGGAGGACCTGTGGTCACGGGTCCTCTGGGCCAAGGCCTGGCCATCCACCCCACCACTGCTGCCAGGAGGGAAGCAGATGTGAGCTGCCATGGGTGTGGCTGGGCTCAGGCCAGGAAAGGCGCAGGAAAGGAGGGAGGGAGAGAGACAGGGAGTCACCTCTGGCTTCCAGCCTTCCTGGAGGTGCCCTGAAGCTGGGAGAGCCATCTGAGCAGCTGGGCAGGAGAAGGGCTAAGAGGATGCACAGCCTCATCTGTCCCCACCCCGCCCCCAGCTAGTGAGCATCGGCTCCTCCTACAACTATGGCAGCGAGGACCAGGCAGAGTTCCTGTGTGTGGTGTCCAAGGAGCTGCACAGCTCCCCTAACGGCCTGAGCTCAGACTCCAGCCGCAAGACCAAGGTGAGCCTCTGCTGCCCGAGCCCGTGCCCTGCCCGCCCCCTTGCCATCCACAGCCACTTCCTCCCTCCTGCGGCATACGCATAACCCCATGGTCACAGCCCATGCCATCCATCCCATGGCACATGGTCCTGTCTGCACACAGCAGTTACACAGGCCCAGGCTGGGGAGCAATAAGACAGGACCGCGCTGAGGGCATAGCCAGGGGGGCTGAGTGTCAGGGTACTGGGGCCACATGCTGGCCATGGTGTTGTGGCAGGAAGCAGAGCAGCTGAACTAGGAGTCAGGGCCTGGGGCGACACTGTATGACCTAGAGCAAGTCCTGTCCCCTCTTGGCCCCTGTGTGAGTCCTCTGTGCAGTGTGCAGGGTGTCTGTTGCCTCAGGCATGGCCCCCTGGGCTCCCAAACAGATAGGTGATTCCAAAGGGGCGGTGACTGTGCCCAGTGCTGCGCAGGCCTCCGCCTTGCGAGCTCTGCATGAAGGGCACCAGAGCCTTGGGAACCTGGCCCTGACTTTCCATCCTGCCCGGCAGGGCTGTCCTAAGGGGACATCTGGCTGCAGCAGAATGTGGACCAGGGGTGGAGCAGGTCCTGTTCCCTGGACCTGAGCTGGCTGGAAGCCTCGGGGCCTCTGGTCAGGTCAGCAGAACAGGCCAGAGCCAGGCCAGGAACAGGGAGCCTGTTGCTCCTGGGGAGCCGTTCCTGTATACTGGAGTCTCAGGAAGTCCAGCTTCCTGTCTGTCTGTCTGTCTGCTGCCCCGTCCTGCTGAGTCCCCTGTCCACCCCACTCCCATGGGGGCCAGCCCCCAGCACTACCTTGCAGGACCGCAGGGTCAGCCCACCACCCTGCCTTCCTGTATCCCCAGATGTTGCTGCTGCTGCTGCTGCTGGTGCAGCCCTGTGTCCCCTTGAGTTCCTATCCTGAATCTGACCTCCCAAAGCAAGGCTGTGCCAGGCGGCCTTTAGGACACCCAGCTCCTCCCACCCAATCCTCCTCTACCTCTCACCCCCGCCCCTCCCTGCACATGTGACAGTAGCCAGGCTGACCCAGAGTGTCCCAGTGGGGCCTCTGGCCTCAGCCTCAGCTAGCCGCTTCCCCAAGCTTCCCAGGGGCTGGTGAGGACTTCCCTAGCTTCAGTGGCTGTAGCCCTCTCTCTCTGGGTCCCCTTTGTGTTACCCTCTGCTCTGGCCTGAGATTGGGGTCCCTGGGGACAGCTGCCCTGGACCCCTTGTTAGTGTCTCCACTCTCTCTTCCCTGGGTCCGCCGGCGGCCACAGAGCGCGGAGGAGCAGCTGGAGGAGGAGCGGCGGCAGGAGGAGGAGGTGGAGGAGGTGCAGGTGGCACAGGTGCAGGTGGAGGCAGATGCCCAG